GAGGGGATGGCCACACCGCAATCCCTTCTCCTCCATTCTCCTCTCGGGATCTTGGGCATGCACGCACACGTGCCCTGGTGCGAGTTTAAGCCACCGGGTCTGGGACTCAAACTACGGTAGACTAGGAGTCCAGCGACATAGCCATTAGGCTAACTGCTGGTCCCACAGCCTTTAACTTTTGAGAGAGAACTACCAGCAGTCTGAGCAAGAGCTCATTGGGTGTTCTGCTACTGTTGAAAGATCCCTGGTCCCAAGGTATCTTGTCTCCAACGGGCCTAGAGACCTACTTCAGCCAGTTCCCTGAGTTGAGGGCTAGAAAGTGTTCTTATACCATCTCTCTCTCTACTTCTCCCATTTTTACCCATATAATGTTCTCAGTCATGCTTCCAACCTACACACATATTTTTCTTTGCATTTTTTTCCCACTATAAAGGGTTTTTTTCTTATCATCCGAGTTAGGTTCCTACTTCCCTCACAGATGTGGCCCAAGGTTATAGGGCTTCCTTGCTCCCGGGTGTCCTGCCTCCTCCTCAGACAGAGAGCTGGCAAATTCCTCCCATCTTCTGCCTGGACACATGGTTCTGCCTTATGGTTCTTCTATGAGTAAGCCAGGGGATGTCCCGAGATGAACAATGAATTTGTACTATTGGGTTGTCAGAAAAGTCATGACGCACAGAAAAACTACGTCATGACTTTTCCGATGACCCAACAGATCTTTTCAACTTAAAGAGTGATGCACAATGGTTTATGCATAAACATCCTTTTCTATCAATAGGGGTCCCAAGAGTGTTTGATAACAGTGCACTAATCACGACTATGTGCTGGGCATCCTGCATCTTTTATATCATTTAATCCTCACAACAGTCCTGCGAAGAAGGGGTCTCCCCATCTTACAACTGAGAAAACCGATGCTCAGAGATTAAATATGAGGCCCAAGGCAGTAAGCAGCACAGAGCTTACTTCAGGCCTGGGCCCTGCGGTGGCTCCACGCCTACCAAATCCTACATTCTAAATCATCACTCAGGTAAAGAGAAGGTGACGTTGAACAGCCTCTGACATCAGTCAAGCACCTGAAGCCTCCCCGGAACTAGGAAAGAAGGCCTTGGTAGAAGAATGAACCCTTCAGGGTCTGTCCCAGGGAAGCTGTCTCTAGTCTTAAGATGCTAAACTTCTTGTCTGAATAAAGGGATTCCCCAGCATCCTCTGCCTCCAAAGCCCCCTGGGAAAAAGAAGAGTAGAAAAAGAAGACAGAAAACCCAAGGTAATCTTCTCCCCTTACAAGATGACACAAAACAGCTGTCAACCCCAAAGACAGCAGGGAGAGAGAGGAGGATGGAGATGAAGAAGGGTGCTCAAAGGAGCAGCGCCACTCTAACAGGGAAGACGGGATGTCAGAGACAGAGTCGGAGCCCTCGAGGGCTCCTGGGGTGCTTTGGGTCCTGCTTCACCGAAGAGTTAAGGCCAAAAGGACACCACCCCCCCGCCCGAGGACATGTTCACTCTGCCACACAGCTGCTCAGATTTAATGGCGGGGTCCCAGCTGTACCCCGGGTGCTCAACGCTGGGCTGTTCCTCAAGTGTCTCAGCTCTGCAACGACGCCAGGGCAAAGCCATTACAGGCAGCATCACCTGAACAGCCGTTCCCAGGATTTCAGCCTTCACAGAACACTTTAGAAAACTGCGGAGTCAGACGCTAATCACCATTTTGTATTTTACCAAGTAGAGTACTCTAATTCTACTTTCTATCATCACCTGCACTTCACCAAAGAAAGCACATTTCAAACATCAAGAAGTAGAAAGGACCTATCCTTAGAACAAAGTACTGCTCTTTAAGTCAGAAAAAGTTCAGGAAAAAAACTCATTCCATTATCCTTTGTCCTCATTTCTCCTGGGAGAATGTCATCGTGGGGCAGCACGGGTCCACAGACGGGCATATGGACCCTGTGTCCTGGGACATGGACCATCCAGCCCTATTCTATCTGACCCTGGGGGCTTAGCAGGCCATGGCAAGGTCCACAGGGATGCAGACTTCCCTCCACATGGTTGTCTCAAAGCCTCAACCAAATTAGATCCACAGCATTTAACCACGACCCCCTGGCAGCCTGGGCCGGCAGCTTACACCCAGCCACTCACTTCCGGCCCCCTTCACTCAGGTATGGCCTGTGGTTACCCAAAGCAACCCTTAAGCATGGTCCACAAGGCCACTTGCACCAAGAACCTCTAGCCCAGAGAGCTCACCCCTCAGGTTTGCTGATGGGAAGAACGGAGTGAGACGAGAGGGGTGGAGAAGGGAAGGAACACTGGAAGGGACGAAGTAAAGGAATCAGGCTGTACGAAGTAGGCTGGGCAGACCTTCCTCACACTGAAGTACTAGATCTCATGGCCAGAAGCAGCTTCCCAACCCCACCCCCTTTGCAGGGATGACCTGTAGGGCTCTGAGCCAGAAGGACATGAACTCTCCCCAACACCAGCAACGTACGGGGCTAGACGCCGTCTCCCAGGCCAGGGTGGGAGCTGCAGATGTGATCCAGATGTCTGTTTTAACTACAGACAGGGAAAACAGGGTGCCGAGTCTGCGGTTCCTAGGTCATAATGTACAGAGTCCACAGGGAAAGGACAAGAGGGTGAAAGGGGGGCCGAGACATCCAAGTAACCCTCTTTCCTGCCCCCAAAACTTGGATCTTCCTCCCCAGCCACAGGACCACGGCCCCATGAGCCCGCGCACAGCTCTGCACTCAGCGGTCAGGGAAATCCTGAGCACGCGCGGCCAGCCAGTGGCAGGCCCACGG